CAAGTTCCGCCGGAAGCTCCCGGCAGGCGCCGCGCCGCCGCCCGTCATGGCTGCTGAGGTGAGGCGCCCCGCACGGCCGAGGGAGGAGAAGGAGGATAAGGAAGAGGGGGAGGCGCGGCATAGCCGTGCCCGGTCCGTAGCACGCAGTGCCCGGCCGCACCGGGCCGTTGAGCTGTGCCCGTGCCCCCTCGCTTCCCGCTGAGGGACGGGGACGGAGGGGGTGCGCCTCTCATCCCCTCCCCCGGTCTGTGGGGCACAGGGCCTTGTCCGCGCCGTCGCCGCGCAGAGCCCGCCAGAGCGACGGGCCCTGCAGCCCTGCGGGCTAAATAACGTAGCTGTTTGCGTGTATCTGCCGTCAGGTTTACCGCATCTGTGCGGCTAGAGAAGCCGTGCTTTCATGCAAAGTCACACCGGGAGAAACAGGCCTGCCAAGTAGTCTCGTTAAAACATGCGCTTCGCAAAAGATGCGTTGTAGCCCTTCGAGTTAGTAAGCAGCAGCTCTCCCAGCGATCTCTTCTTCTCTTTGAATCATCTTGTGTGGGTGGCTGTGGAAGACAGATTGTCCCAGTCTTGTCCAGCTTCTAAACGTTTTTCACTGTGTTTCTAATTACACTGATACTGTTTTACTTTATACATATAACATACACATTTTTTCCTTGCTGTAGGTAACTTCTGAGGATGCTCTTGATCCGATATGGCTTTGATTAGTCTAAAAAGCTTCCTGCTTTGTTCATCCAGCACAGCAGCAAGCAGATCTCTGGTGATGACCCTAAGCAAAAGTTTGAATTTTATCAGTGGGCAGCAAAAGTCCCAAAAGTATAGCTCCTCAGCCATGAGGATGCTATCCTCCAAAGTTAAATCTCAGTACATGGTGTATAGGAGCAACCATGTACAATTGCGGATCCAGTCTCTTTCTCTTAATGAAACAGTGCATCTTTGTGGAGGTCCTGAGAACAGTCCTATATCTGATAACAGGTGGATGGATGAACAGATGTTTTTCGAGAAGTTGAAGGGCCTTGATACATCCAAAGAGATTTTTAAATTCCTTAGCTCTCTGGAAGTCATGTCTGATATCATGGCAGCAGCAGCCCTGCAGAGGATTTTTGAAGTTGAGGTGGACGGCGATGGACTGAAAAACTTTGAAGGAGTGTTAGAGAATGAAGTTTTCAGGGCATTGTGTTTTCAGTTGGAATATGAATCCTCAAAACTGTCAAACACTGGGCTGTTGAATGCATTGCACGCCTTGATAAAACTGCGTATAGATCCCCAGAGTTCACTAGTTGCAAGCTTACTTTCAGAGAGTCAAGAACGGCTTGGTAAAGGACAGCTGACCATTAAAAACCTATGTAATCTTGGAGAGACTTTGCTTGAGTTGGAAGGCCCAAGTTGTGCAACACTGGAACAAATTTTAAACCACGTGCAAGGAAAAGACGTTGAGGAGTGGAGTCCTAGTGAAATGGTAATGGTTTATAGGATGCTGCAGATGAGTGTCAGAGAAGGGGAACAGTACCAAGACTTGCTAAACAGAATGAACAACGTCACTTTAACCATAGCTTCCCAGCTAAGCCCAAAGTTCACGAGTATAGTATTGAATTCACTGGTTGTTCTTCAACAGACTCAGGCAGTTCCCTTAGTCATAACACTATGTAAGCATTCAGTGAAGCATGTTCCTTATTTCACAGATGATGAACTGGTTAACGTACTGGAAGCCTTCCTGTACTTTGGACATCGTGAGCAAGTTTTTACAGAAGCGCTGGAAACACATGTTCCCAAGTCTGTTTTTAGCATGCATCCTGAAACAGTCAGCAAAGTCATGAAGTATTGCTGCCAAAAGATGATCCTTTCAAAGCCCATCTTTGATGCAGTGGCAGAGTGTTTCATTTCCGATGCTGATGGATTTACCACCAACCAGATTGCTGAGTGTATTGTACCATTTGGGACTCTTAACTATCTTCCTCCAAGCACTTCTTCGTTCTTTGGGAAACTTGAAAGTATACTACATACTCGCTTTAGCCAGTTTCAGCCTCACACCTTGCTGAGCCTTCTGCACTCATGTGTCCTTATTCAGCGTTACCCAGTAAATTTTCTGCCGAAAATATTTAGTCCCTATTTTCTGCAACAGCTTCAAGGTAAGGGGTAGTATTTCTGTCTGTTGCTGTGTTGCCATTTTCTGTTATGTGGTATGTCCCTTGTTAAGCACCCATTTCTTATCACTTGCATCTGTTTAATCCCATCCAATCAACAGTGACCTGATTAAGGTGACTGGAGAATAAGGATCAGGAAGCTAAAGACTGGTGCATTCTTGTCACAACTGCAGTTGTCTTTCAGGTTGTATCAACTAGAGGAATTTGAAAATTATGCTATGCAATCTTAAACAGAGATTTGAAATCCCTTAAAATTTTTCTTTCAAGTAATCCTTCTGCTTTTCTGAAAATACTCCCCCTCTGTTATGCCCAGGGGTTGTCCCTTATCTTACTCAGTTTTTAGACTCTAAATTATTCTGTGCAAGAAGCGTATGTTACTTTTAACTCCAGCTGTGTAAAATTCTATGTCTATGCAAGGACTGATGTGAATGCTCTCATTGAAGTCCTATGGAATTAAGCAAACTGATACCAAAAATTATAGATATTGTAATGATACATGGATAATATAATGGAGTGATACTTGATTGATATAAAACATAATTTAGCAATTCTGGGTTCTTGTTTCTCTAAAATGTTGCAATGTAATGACTGCCATGTGAAGGATGTGGCATAAAGGTAGGACAGTGCGCTGTGAGTCATGAGACGTTTTTTGAGTGTTGCCCCCCATGTGCCTTGGGCAAGTCGCTTCAATTTTCTGGACCTTTTTCCTGCTCCCACGTTTGTTGGTCTTTCTTACTTCTTAGGATTGGGATTGGCTCTTAGGTGTTTTACTCAGGGGCTAGCCCAGGGGAGGACCTACTTTGAAAAACAATAGAAATACTAGGAATGCTGATGTGAAGCTAAAATAGTTTCCTGGTGCTTGTACACTGCTAGTTAGATTTAAGATTTCATTGCCTGTCTTCTTAAGAGGAAGTCCTCTATGAGTTGGCATAAATCATTTCTGGATGTTTTCCCAAGCATCAAAAATACTCTGTTCCCAAGGCTCTGAATAAGGGCAAGGCACAGGGTCAGAGTTGTCAGGAAGCCTTTGTTAAAATAGGCACTGAATGATAATATGAGTAGGGAAGGTTACAGTAACTGCTCCACAACTTGCTTAAAATTGTGTTACAGGCAAGTTTATTCAAAAAAAAAAAGTAAAAATCATTATAAGCTTTGGTCAAGGTTAATACAAATTCTCGAGAGAAGTGAGGTGAAACGTAGCTTTGGAAAAAAAGTAATTTGAATTCCTAATATTGGTAAGTTCGGTTACACACGTAGAATGTGTAAACCTTAGGCAGTACAAAGTGTATTTTTCAAATATCATTTTGCCTAACGATTGAAAAGAGGTCCACTATCTGCAAGTGCTTCTGCAACTTTATTCCCTACCTTCTGCCAAGCTGCATTATTTCAGGCTTTTCAGGTGGAGTAAAATAAAACCAGGTGTTGGCTTCAGCTGCTGTCATCTTCATTCTTGCAATAAGCCTTATCCTGAAAGAATGTGTTATATTCTTGCTTCCAGCTTGGTTGTGTTTTTCTTTCATATTGTGTTACGATCAGTTTGTGAAAACTGACAAGGGTGAATGGATAAAGCTGATAAAAATTCGATTGCAGTGCCTAATTGTTGGCTTAATTAAAATGGAAATGAGGAGAGCTGAACCAGTAAAACATGACAGCATCAGAAAGGTCAGCACTTACAGATAGGCTAGTAATTTTTTAAAGTATTTAGGTAAAACTAAGTTGTATTTTAATGCTCACGTATGCTTTAACAAGGCATAAAGATTGGTGCTTTATCCTAGTTTTTAAATTACTTTAAATCTAGAATCTGATGCAGTTATGTGCATTGGCATTCTCTCTGCCAAAAGGGAGCGTTATGTGCTCATCCTTCTTCCATGTCCCGAGCTTCTTTCTTTCTACCTCTAAGCAAACACCACAGCTCATCCTTGGCCCTATGCCTTGCTAAAATGAGGAAAACGTTGCAAAGCTTAGAAATCTACTCCATGTTTTTGTATCGTCTTGCTTAGTAGACCTAAGAGACTCCTGCTCTCTCCTAGGGGTGCCTTCATCTAATTGGTTTTGTTCAGTCTAGTAAGCTTCTAGAACATCTCTCGTGTTTTTCCTCACAACCGTTATATAATCAATCATTTTGGGGCACAAACCTATTATGAACAACATAGTTATAAGCTATAGATTTTCAAGTAATTCTATGTTAGAAAGTAAAGCATCTTTATCGACATTTTAGGGTTATGAAAGCTAAGCCAGAAGGTTGAGTGACCTCTCCAGATCTCAGCTAGAATTGCTTTCTTAGTAAAACTACATAAAGGCCAAGTTTTCAAAGAGATTAGAAACTCAGTTTTTAGCTGCTCAGCCTGAAATAGCATAAGGGGTTGATTTTTAGGAAGTAGAGATTCCTCACATCCTAAAAATCAGAAAGTCTTTTAAAGGTCTCGAGTTGGCACTTAGAAAATGAGAAATGTCACAGTATCACTTGCTTTGAATATGTTCTTTCTAATCAATGTAAAGGTATTCCGTTAATGGTCAAAGTTCAAAGTAGGAATTTGAGATGATGATCTGTATGATTGGCATTTTATCCTATATTATGTTTTTAGGATTATGTAATAAAATTTTGCACTTAATATGAAAGATGCCTCAATTATACACTAATAGCGAAATTTCCAGAAATTGTTCAGTATAATTTACTACTTGCAGTTAGGAAAAAAAAAAAGTGAAACAGTGAAGATCCTGGGATTATAACCTGGAGTGGGGGAATTGCAGGAAAAAGAAGAGAATGGGGTATTTATTCAAGATTCCAACTCCGGCATATTTCTGTAGAACATCCTACTTCTCTCAGATCCTCAAATTTCGTGAAAGACAGTCTTAACTAAGATCTTGCTAGTTTTGTATTTTTGTAATGTTCATGATATTTCTGTAAACCATTTCCTCATTTTTCAAAATACTTAATTTCACAATTGAGCTTTCTGTTTATTCAAGTAATCTGCTAATGATCCAGAATAACGGAGCTTCGCTGCATTTTAAACTGAATAGCTTTTCAACTAACTTCTGCGTGATTGTTTGTATGATAATACTTTGTTGAAGATATATCTGAATGCCTGAACATTGTTGTTTCAGCTCAGCCACCTGGTTTGGACAGAATTGTTACCTCCCAGCTAACCCGGCTTTTTCTAACTGCTACCTTGGAGTGCCCATTTTACCAGGTAGGTAGGTGTGAAACCGGACCTGGTGTTAACAAGAGGTGATAAGGTCATTAGGACTGTATTAGTAATTATCTGAAGACTGCCTTTCCCAGAAAAATATTGCAATTAGATAGATCAGCTTTTTTTTTTTTTTTCCTCTTGATGGAAATATGAAGTATTTCTACCTGTTTGACTGAACTGATGTATTTGTACATTGGACAGAACTGACTGGCTCTGGCTAAAGCTCTTTTTGTGTATTGTGTAAACAGTTGTTTACCCACAACTGTTCCTTTTTTATGTTTGTTTTGCGAAGTCTTGGAGCACAGAAGAGATCAGGCACTCTGATGCTGGCCTGACTGCAGGAAAATGGAAACTGTTCTGTGTTTCTTATGATCAGTGTATTCTGCATGATAGCATGGAGGCCTGCTAAGGATGTGGGCTTTTTATTTAGCTTCCAGCAATTAGACATGGCTTTGAAATGGACATATTACATATTGTTATATTAATACCTGAGGTAAATAAAAAAATATTGGTCTTGCTAAGCCCAGACTTTCTTCTCTTAATTGCCTGTTTATGAAATGTTTCTAATTATTGCTGAAAATAACAGAGGAAGTAGATTTTCTTCTTTTTTTCTTGCTAAATGAAATGATTTGTGGGTTTTTTTTGTTGTTTACTTTTTTTTTTTGGTCATTATGTAGGGCCCTAAACTCCTTCCAAAGTATCAAGTAAAGGCCTTTCTCATGCATAGCTGTTCTCTGGATGTTCACCTCCTCAACAGAGTGAAAACTGGACTGCTTTCCTTACTGAAAAAAAGAATATATTTTGCATCAGAGGTATCAACACCATATTTCTATACTGTTGGTAAGCAACATTATTTCTTTAGATTAATAACAAAATGTGTGCATTCAGTGTAATAATATTGGATCCTATTGTTTTCTGGAAATACAAATGATAAATTTTATTCCTTTTATGTGCATTCTGAATTGTGCAAATATGGAAAAAGTAAATTAGGATACAAAAGAGACGTTACAGAAGATTTGAAATGAGGAAATACAATGGGAAATTTCAGTAAATGCGTTTTCAAAATGAGAAAGAAGAATAAGGAGAGAAAAGAGCTACAACATTACTTTGGAACATTACTTTGAATTTACCTACCTGGTGTGCACTGAAAATAATTGATAACTCTTGTATTCTTTATTTTTGGTATCAGCTCCACTTTTACTTATCCTATAAACAATTTGTATAGTATAAAACAAAAGAGGGCAATGCCACTTGCCTCATCTCTCTGCTTTGGTAGTGGGTGGAGAAATGGGGAGCTGGAACATTGGCAGCACTCTTCCATGCTCACCTGAGTTCTTCTCACCTTAGCAAGAGCTACTGAGTACGTGTAGTCAGGAGGAGTTTGTGGAATGGAAGAGAGGAGTGGGCAAAAGAGTGTATTTCATGTACTAGGAAAGGAGAGTGAGGGAAAGTAATGATGAGGAAAGATGATGTGTGCCAAAGAGGGTTCGAGGATAAGGAAGGTGTCTAGGGAAGGACCTGAGGGTCATCAGAAGGAGAAAAAAAATTGGAGAGGGATTCCAGAATTACTCTGCATTTCAGCCTGCACCTGGGGTTGAAGATGGCAGGGGTTAGGTCCCAACTTCCCTTTGCAAAATCAGATCATCTATAAAATTATGGAAGTGGTAAGGAAAAAACAAAAAAGATGGGAAGAAGAAACTCTCCCCAAAGCCCCCAAAATTCCGGTGGCCCTAGCTAGCACAGCAAAGTACCATTTGATTATTATGGTTTTTAGTGGATTTTGAATACAACTTCAGTGTTAGCGTTATGAAAGACTTGAAGTGTTAATCAGTGTAATTAGCGTATTAATCATCATTCATTTGTATTAAATAGTCTCTACTCATATTTTGCAAGCCACTATCAGGCCAAAGAAAGTATTGCTATAGTATTTTAATTATTTTATAAAACAATAAATTGTAAGAGGATGAGAATTACAGTAAGTGGTTTGTTATATGAAATGGGATTTAATTTCACTTCTCTTTTCATCTATACTAGATATTGAAATTAAATTAGATGAAGAAGGCTTTGTATTGCCTGCTGCCCAGTGTGAAGAGATAAACAGACGGTAAGAGTAACAGAAACCACAAGTAAAAGGTTGGTTAACCCTGTCAAAAATTGGAGGGCCTGGGGTGAAAACCTGGCAAAATTTAAACTAATTTGAGTTTTACCATTGACCTCAACAGATTTAAGATTTCACACTGAAACTACAGATAAAGGGATAAAGTTGGTAAAATGAATGGCTTGTACTTTGTTGTTGATTCTTTTGCCTCCTGATGATACAGTTTGAGACAATTAGTCTCTTTACGCACTGACACTTGGGATCAAATTGATCTTAGTTTGGCATACAGGATTACTTTTTGATCTTGTTTAATTCATTTACAATTTAAAAAAAAAATAATTTTAATTGAGAGTGTCCACACCAATTTTACGCAATTTAAGCAAATTTCAGTTCGCAAGCTTACTTTTCTAAGAGTTCCTGTGTAATGAGGACTTTTCCTACAGATGCTGTTGGCATTGAAGAAGGCTTATATGTTTAAGCATAAGTTAATCAAGGACTATTTAGAGAAACCTTAGATACAAAATTAAGCAACCTACCTGTGCTGCATTTGCAACTGTGCTTCTATGAGTAAGCAAAATTCTTTGAAAAGGCTGTGTTTCTTCAGCTTGACCTTGACAAGCCTCACAAAGTCACATCCTTGTAAAATCCCGTCCTTAAATGCTTAAGAATGGACTTTGTTTTTTGGAATTACAGCTTTTGTGTATAAATAAGGTCAATATACTTAACATACTTAAAATGTAAGTACCTTTTATACTGGATGCACACATTTTGTTTTAGGTAATGTGTTTTTTATATCACCAAATAGAAATTATGTAGCTACAATCCTTAGTGCTGCCAACCATATGTACAGGTTCAAGTTGAATCGCTAATAAGTTGTATAAAGTTAGCTGCTTAAGTGTGTCCAAGATGAGACAAGTATTTTGTTTCTTTTTTCCTAGTAGGAGTATTCAAAACAGCTTAGCAATAGAAGCATTAAAAAACAAACTCATACTATTAATTTATTTGGCAGTTTTTGCTTAAAGCTTATACATAATTTTTTCAGATCAGTTTTATTAAGTTTCAGCCTTCTATTTTTTCTTAAATTTGTCCTGAACTAGGAAACTCCATCCTACAGCATCTAGTTCTAGAAGGAATTTGTCATTAAATGGAGGCATTGCGTCATCTTTCTTTGGAACTGCAGTAGTCTTGGTGACTAAAGTAACAGTGACAATTTTTTGATATATAATACTTGTGCTTGATTTTAGAATTGCCCTCTGTGTTGATGGTCAAAATAGATTTTGCATTAACAGCCACCACCTACTGGGAGAAGAAGCTATTAAACAGAGGCATCTTAAGTTACTTGGTTATGAAGTCGTGCAGGTAAAGTCTAAAGAGAGCAGTTTGCTTTTGCTATGGCTAACAAAACAAGTGAAAATGACTTGTTTACAATGGTTAAAGCTGTTGTTGCAATTACTTCCCAAGGCAGATAAAGTCTTGCCCTTTCTGTTGTCTTCTGTCTGCCTAGCTTTTGCCTTTTGGGCATCTGTTACATAAATTCCTTTCTTTTTTCTTGGATTAATGTTTTCTTTCTGCACAAACTTTAGCTTTGTGAAAGAGTACATGTCTGCAGTAATTAAGGTTCACATATTGCCTTAAGTGAGAGTGTTGTCTAAGAGTTAAATAAGATCAGGATTTTTAATTAAATACTTTTTTAAAAGATCTGAATAGGGAGCTTAAAAATGGGAAAAAGGGGAACTGCTTTGTGTTGCAACTAAAACAGAGGAATTCCTTTATTTTGCATGTTGAATAAATCGTCGTTTTTATTATTTTTTTTCTTTAAACTTTTAAACATATTTGGGATGTAAAAAGTTACTTGTAGATTTTCAAGATTAGTTTTCTATTTATAATCATTTACTGCCTAAACCTAACTCCTTTATATATAACTTAGTTTTAACTGTAATGAACATTGCTCTTTGTTTTGCAGTAACCTCCATTCTGGTGATTCTGACAGGATTAACATGTCAATAATATACTTAGTATTGAAGGTTTAAAATTAAAGAAGACGACTCTTTGACATGTGATTTTACATCTGCTTAATGAAAATTTATCTTAAAGGTTACTGAATCTAACTCAGTTGTCTATTGAAAGATATTTCCAGCAATCGTTTTTCTATTTCATTTCCAGATCCCATTTTTTGAGATAGAGAGTCTAAAAAATAGCAGAAAAATGGCAGCATATCTACGCAAGAAAGTCTTTCCTTGTGCATATGGACTCAGATGCTGACACTGGCAAACAATACTGCCCTACAAGTTGATCTTCTGTACTGTCAAGTGTAAATACTGTGTATGGAGGAAAAAATCTGTGTTCTACGTAACTGTGTGTGAGATGACTTCAGCTTCTGAATGTGAAACTTTCCAATATTTGGAACAATTGATATGTAAACAGTAATAAAAGAACAACATATTTTCTTAAATTTATAAATATTTTTTACAAGTTCACAGGTATAGCAGTCAAGCAGTCAGTGCTGCATTTCCTTTGTATGTGCACAGGTTCACAAATACCACACAACTCGCATCTGCAAATGGACAGATGTCACGATATTTAAGGATGCTATCTGTTGTTGAATGCTCGAAATGTGCCATGTTCTCAGTCAAGGCTTTTCTTGACAGTATAAAAGGATATGTAATTCACTCATAGCTGTCTGTGTGACTTCCCAGCTCTTTCGTAAAATTTAAATGTGCTGTAGCTCCACTGACAAGCAGCACTGGCTTTTTGCACGTACTTCAGAGATGCAGAGTGCTGTTCACTAAATAGTAATCCCTTACAGAAAGTAAGAAAGAGCTTAAAAAGATTCACTTTACTTTGTAAAAGAACAGCTGACAAAGGGTAGTTAGTGGAGAGTGTGCCCTAGATCCTGGATATGTGCTATTCGTAGTTTTTTAGTATTTTGTAGTATTCAGATGTGTGTGGGGGGGGGCAGTTTTAGCTAAACTGGCTATGTGGGGCCATGCATGCACTCCAGAGTTGCCCCAGCTTACAGCCTGCTATACCAGCCTAAACTGAAACTGATTGTTTAGCACATTAGCACTTTAAAGCTCAGAAGCAGAAATATGTCTAATATAGTGATTTCCTATGCACGAGTATAAATTCTGGCAGAAGGGTGGAACGAAGAACTGGAAGCAGTAACCACTGAAAACCATACCCTGACTTGAGTCAACACATTAGTTTACAGATGGTTAAAGGGGAAATAGCAAAGCTTAGTTCTGATCACATAGCATGTACTTGATGAACTGTCGTATAAAGGTCAAAAAACTACCTTTTCAGATGCTTGCTGCCCTGTCTATGATTAGCAAAGAAGACTTATTACATCACCCGAGTTGATTCTAACTATTGCAATTTGATATAAAAAACCATAAAACTTTCACATCCTTAAAGTCCCATGTATTTCATCAGTAGCGGTAGAATATGACTTTTTTCCTTTCAAGGCTACTGTTAAT